ACCACATGCCACCACATGCCATCACATGCCACCACATGCCACCACATGCCATCACATGCCATCCCATGCCATCACATGCCATCACATGCGATCCGATTGCAACCACATGTCGCCACATGCCACCACATGCCACCACATGACACCACATGCCACCACATGCCACCACATTCCACCACGTACCATCACATGGTCGAAGCCGAGGCATGCTCCGGCGTCTCCGGGACGCCGGACCATACGAGGGCATGGTCCGGCGTCCCGAGGACGTCGGACCACACGAGGGCATGGGCCGGCGTCCCGAGGCTGTCGGACTGCATGCGGGCATGGTCGGGACGCCGGAACACACGAGGGCGTGGTCCGGAGCGTGTGAGCGCATGTGGTGGCATCCCGGGGACGGCCGGGATTCTCGTCGTGTTGGGCGGTCGCCTTGGGACGTCTTGGCATGCGATGGTCTGGCCACAGGCAGGGATGAACCGGGATACGCAGAGGGGCGGATGAAACGGGCTATCCATAGATGGAGATGAACCGGGTGATCTATGTGGCCACATGCGATGGTCAAGTGTGGCGAAAAGGTCAGGCGTGGTCTGTAAAAAATGTCAGCCTTCCCCGAAAAGTTCTAGCATAGTCTGTGAAAAATGCCAGCCTTCCCCAAGGTAGAAACTGTTGAACTCGTAAAAATGCCAGCCGTGACGAAAATGTCAGGCATGTTTGACAGAAGGTCCGCGCCATGGTGGAGAAGGTTGTTCAATAATGGTTGTTTGCAAACCAGAATCCGCCAGCGGGGATGTTCGAAGCCGCCGACACGAAGAAGATCTGGAACATGCGGCACGAACGCAAGGCAAACACGTGAGACGGAGAAACTGTTTGATAGGCGGACACTATACACAAGACACAAAAAAGGGACAAAATATTGACCTGCTTAACAACACAACCCATATGTTGATTGACAAACTTATCACATGTTCGGAAAAAAAAAACATGCGTGTCAAAAAAAATCAGTCGTGCATGACAAAAGGTCCGTGCCGCGGTAGGGAAAGTGTTGACCTGCTCGACAGAGTGAAGAAGGTGAACAAAGCGCCCATTTTGGCAGTAATCTTTGAAAACAAGTGAAAAATGGGATGTCTAGTAACAAGAAACAACACACTACTAATAACCATCCCAATACAAATAAGTAAGCTCATCCAAGTTGCACGCACATGCATATAGATGATACGACAATTTTCGTCGAACATGGTGTGACAGCAGGAAACGAATGCAATGCACTGCAACAAAAAAGGTGGTCGCATTCGGCTGGAGATGAATGCAATGCACCACAGGAAAACATCGGCAGATCGGCGAACAGAAATGTTGAACAGAAAACTATCGGAAAACGGAAATGCTGAACAGAAAACTATCGAAATGTTGAACTGGCAATGACGAAAGCAAGGAGAAACTAACAATGACTAAAGCAAGGTGAGAAACCCGAAAAACCAAGGCGAAACTGACAATGACTAAACAAGTTGGGAGAAACGCCACAAATAATGATGTCCATGGCCAGTGCGAAGCTGCAGAAGTGGAAGGCAGAACCGTTCGCCCATGTAAATAACTGGATTTCTGTCCCAGGTGGCCGTAATAAAAACGCGACACAAAGAGTATACCAGCCAACAAAAAAAGTTCCACGATCTGGGCAGCTTGCAATGCAGTTCAAGGCTAGTGCGAAGGTGGAAAAGCGGAGGGCAGAAAAGTTCGACGATTGGAGTGGCAAACAATGAATGTCCAAGCCCAGTGCGAAGGTGGAAAAGCGGAAGGCAAAAACGAAATAACAGAACACAAAACAATGGAAAAGTTTGGTGCCCACATTCTCACACAGTTGTGTTTTTCTGACCTGGTAAAAGCTGCGGAGGTCTTCTTGCCACCCGGTCGTCCTTCCAGAATGCAAAGGCGTTGTGTGGACGAGCACGTCACTCGTGTACGATATGCACAAGACAGACGTCCTCCGAAAATGCACAGGCGCTGTGTGGACGAGCACGTCACTCGTGAACGGCATGCACAAGGCGCAAACCAAAAAAATGCCGCTGAAAGGCGAGACACCAAACTGCACTTGCCACGAAGTGGCGAGCTCAGCGTTGTCGAACGCTCCAAAGACTCGAACGCGCCACACGAAGGCTTTGCGCCGAGCTGCAGGTGGCACACGCAGGCGCTGCAGTCACGCTGTTGTCGTGCACGAAAGCGAAATGGAGACGTCCATGTCTAAGGGGAGACATTGCGAACACGCGTACTGTTCGCGTGGAGTTCTGCGGACAAGGGAATGACGAACAGGTCCAGAATGGCAGGGCCCATACGATTTCGCAGGTCCTGTCGGTTCCCCTCGGCAGGGGCAGGGACGACGGTGCAAACGGAACCAGCCACGGTGCCGCACCTGTTCTTTTGCGGGAAACACGGGCAGGTGCAGGCCAGGACAGTTAGTGTAGTGTTTCAGACCTCCGGTGCGCAGTCGCGTGCTGGTACCGCCATAGGCCTGCCCTTTTTTCGCGTGCTGGTACCGCAATAGGCCTGCCCTTTTTTTTTTTTTTTTTTCATCTCGTCCCGACACCGCGGGCCGGCAAAAGCACGGTGCGCAGTCGCCATTACAGCACCTTAGGGCGGAGGCCGTGGAAGCACGTTGTGCAGTCGCCATTGCAGCACCTTAGGGCGGAAGGCCATGGAAGCACGCTGCGCAGTCGCCATTGCAGCAAAAAATTCGCCCAGCTCCGTCTTCATATCCGCCACCATCTCCATTGTCCTCCGCAATCGACCGTTGAGGCACGCAGCGCAGCTTCATTCGTACGAAATGGCGAGCAAACGTACGTCCACTTCGTTCCCTCTCTATCCTCCCTCCATTTTTATGATTTTTTCCCCCTTTTTTTTGTTTCTTTTTTTGTCTTGCTTTCTGATGCGCTGTTTATACGTGCGAAGGCTTCTCTCTCTCTCTCTCTCTCTCTCTCTCTCTCTCTCTCTCTCTCTCTCTCTCTCTCTCTCTCTCTCTCTCATTGATTGATTGATGGGCGGATGGATTGATTGAATGATGGATTGATTGATTGATCGATTGATTGATTGAATGGTTGATTGATTGATTGATTGATTGATTGGTGGATTGATTTTTAAAAAATGCTTGAAATACAAAAAAATTGACACTCCACGACTTCCACCTCGATTTCCTCCTCCTCCTCCTCCTCGACTTCCTCCTACTCGTCTGCCTCCCCCTCCTCCTCCTTCTCGGCTTCCTCCTCCTCGACTTCCTCCTCCTCGACTTCATCCTCTTCGACTTTCTCCTCCTCGACTTCCTCCTCCTCGCGATCGGGAAACAGGTTTTTCCCAAGGGCTTTTTTTTTTTGGCATTTCATTCGTTTGTGCGAAAAAAGGCAGCCATGGCGGCGGCCACGAAGCCCAAGCAATCGGCAAAGGGAGAGATCGAAACT